GGAAAGAGGTCTTATGGATAGGGGGTTCCTGTTTAATGGATGCTTGGAACGAAATATCAATAGCTACCACAGAGTAGTCTAAGTTACCAAGACAGACAGTAGCATTGCGGAGCTCAGAAAGAGCGAGAAGAGGAGGTAAGAAATAGATCCAGTAGAGAAGCCTGTTGCCCGATTTGACAAGGGAAACGAGTAGGGAAGTCCACGATTTGAGTAAGGGATTGGGTAATGGAAAACTTTACTGTCTGAATAGCTTTAGAATGTTTCGGCCACGTGTCACAGTGAGCATGAAAGTCACCGAAGACAAAGATGTTTGCAGATGGATAGAGAGAAAGTGCATTTTCTATAATGTCAGCTATTGCGTCTAATATACTACAGTCCTGGGAAGAGGTGGGGCAATACTTTTGGATATTGTATATGTACATAAGAAGTCTATTTGAAAAGAAACGGTCATCACTTTCTTTGCCTAATATTTTCTTTCTTTCTTTCTTTCTTTCTTTCTTTCTTTCTTTCTTTCTTTCTTTCTTAATTACACGTTACTCGTTTGTCTGCCAACTGTATTTCAGGCTCCCCATCAGTATCTATAAATCTTCCCAGTATAATTATATACATCTCTATTTATCAATCTATATCTGACGACGTCAGTCACTGCTTTAGTCTGTGCTTATCTATCTATCTATCTATCTATCTATCTATCTATCTATCTATCTATCTATCTATTTAAGCCTGATTATTTCTTTCTGTCAATCTCTGAACCATCATGTATTCAATAAAAACGGGCCAAAGAGGTGTCATTTTCCACGACAATGCAAGACCGCATTTTCCGATGCAGATCTATCTATCTATCTATCTATCTATCTATCTATCTATCTATGTTTAGATTTATCTGATGACATGTCTTTCCAAACTATTTCTCTTGGTTCAATATTCTCTCTCTCATAAACATAGATAAAGATATTACAAACGTTCATACGCAGACGCTCTCGCACGCGAACATGCGAATAAACACGCATATTATTTTTGTATTATTTTTATTTTCTCTATGTGTGTATGTAATAATTAAATCCTTAAGCACAAAAAGCACCCCGATAACTTTTTTCTTATTAATTTTTTAAATAAACACTTAGATAAATAATAAATAGTTTTTAAATAGACCCTCACTGAGACATAAATTAAGTGGCTAATGTCTTCCTTCTTTTGTAAGATTCAAAGCCCGCGAAGCAAAATTTGAAAAGAATGAAAAAAGAAATAAAAAAACAATAACATAGAGAAAGGAACGAGAAAAAAAAACGGACGAATTGTGTGAAAAAAAGAAGAAAAAGAAAAAAGAAAAGAAAGAAAATAGGAAGAAGAAAAGTGTCTGTGAGAAATACGAGACGTGAGAAAGTTTTCGAAATGTTCCCCTACTCTGAGTGAAAATGCCTCCTGCAAGATCCGGAAATTCTTGCATTCTATTTCATTCGCGAATACCTTTGAAAAATGATAATCGTTGAAAGTGAGACAAAAAGAAAATTTAAAAAAAAATAAAACGAAATAATAAAAAAAATCAGAGTCACTTGAAGAACGTGGGGACAGATGCAAGTGGAATTAGTTGAAGAATAGGTAACCCTGAGAATAAAACCAAATAAAAAATAGAAAGATAAAATTAAGCGTAAGAGTGTGTACACGATAACATATAAGGCCATATACAATCGAATATTCCGGTTCTCATCCAACCACCAATGTTAAGCAACGTCGAATGTGCTCATTTTTATATGGGGGGATTACGTGTGAGTTTTCTTTGCTGCCAGTACTTGTTCAGAAGTTGCTTCACGTGTGGGTAATTGTTAACAAGTTGGAGAGAAATGATGACTCGATTACTTTCGAGCAATCAATATCAGGTTAATCTTAGTAGACATTTGCGAATGTAGTGAATTTGGTCCTCACCAAATGTCCCGCTAACGTAGCTTTGTCCTGGATCCAAATAATTTTAGTTAATGTTATTACGTTGATGCAAAAGTTTACAGCATTTTTAGCCATCTCTTCTTTTTTAACCATTTCACCCCAAATAAGGCAATAATGACACTAAGACGTTACAGGGGTTACAAAAAGTGAAAAGGATTTAGAAGACTTTACTGTTTAGAAGTTAGGCAGAAAGACAATAAATAACAGGATTCATGAAGACAGAAGATGGTTTTTGATTACATTTAAATTTTTGAAGATTGTAGGCAGAATAAAAATCGAAGTGAGATGTTTTAGTAAAGAAATTATTAAAACAGATGGTTGCATCCAGCTATTTCAACAGTAAAATGGTGAGACCTAGTTGCCAATCTAGTAGCACGCTTAAATTCATGAAGTCAATGCACCAAGGAGGAAACCTCATCAGAGAAATTGACATGAAAATATTTGTAGAGAAGCCATGTCATGTCAATGAGAAAATGATTGAAATCAAGATGGCAGGTCAGGACTGATAACATTACAAACTCTTTCTTGATTTTTATGAAGAATCTCGAGTTATATCATAGGAGCATCAGATATGGCAGCAGTATTCAATCCACAGATAAAAAAAAATCAACTGATATTTGTTTTTTTATATTATTGCTCATCAATACAAGGCCCAAGAAACACTCAAGGTAGACGGTTACTGAGTAAGGTTGTTGTAAGCGTGTCAAGGGAGGGAATAAGTGCATATTATGGAGAAATGTAGGATAGAAAATGATTGAAACTAAACTTGAAAAGGTTAAGATCATAGTAATCAGGAAAGCATTCTCTTGTAAGTGTTCCACAAAGTAAGAGTTCTGTGGAAGAAACTGAATGGAACTTTGTCTTTACCAATCAAATACCAAAAGCATAAGAAGGATTTGACCCTATGTTTGGTGAGTCTTAACTGAAAAGGCCTGACTAAGTAATGGAGATCATCTGAAGATTTTGCCATATAAACAGCAATAGTGTAGATCTGTGGTAGATACCCTCAGAAGCGTTCAACATTCAGATTGAAAGAAAATGTGTAAAAGGTACAGGAAATGACATCAGTCGAAGATATACTCAGAAGTTTACAAACACTGGTGAAGAACGCTGGTGCCTCTGTAGAATTTCAATTGTACTTCTATTCTACCATTATACTGTTCAAAATAAAACATTTTTATGAAAACCAATGAAATAAGTTATTAACAATTTCAAATAGGGAGTTTCTTTCTATCCAACCTGTATAGAGAAGTACCACTCAAAGTTTTTTAAAATAAAATTTAAACTCACTATATATTCAAAGTCACCATTCATCATGACTAGAGAAAATACAAAGTCAGGGTTTTATAAGTTAACCACAATTTTATACGAAATAAGATATCAGAGAGAAGCCATGTTATATCAGTGCCGAAGTGAATGAATTTGAAATGACAAATCAGAATCGATTATATGACAGAACCTTCTTTGAATTTTGTCAAGAATCTCAAGATATATAGTAGGAGCACCTGGCCAGATATGGCGGAAGTATTCAATGCACAGACGAATGGTAGATTTATAAATGTCTAAGAGGGATTCTGACGAGAAGAAGTGTCTGGTACGACATTGTGAATCAACTTTGTTTGCAACAGTCCTAGCAATTGAGTTAATATAATCAGTCGACTTTATATCAGTGAAAAACGTAACCCTGTTCATATAAATTCATAGTATAATATTTTTCTTTGTTTTGTATCATCACGTGCCTGCTCACAACTAAATTATGAATTCCATGTCAATTTTTCTATAATTTTGAGAAATTCTTTAATTATTAGGATGTGCGCATGGCGTAGCGGTTATCGACGCCGAAAGTAGAATCAGAGTGTCGAATTTAAATATTCAAATTGAGCTTGCTTTCACACAGATATCTTTGGAAACCCATCTCTTTGTAAATCTTAGTAAAACAAATGCGTTCCCCCGGCAGGGATTGAAGCTGCTCCCACTCATTTGGGTGAAGAGGATGTACTATCCTTAAAAAAGGAAAACAAAACTTTGCTTGCTGTGACGTCCTTCGTGGTCGGGGAGTAAAGTAAACTAGAATAAACGATGGTTTTTCCCTACAAACGAGGACGTAGGTTCGATCCCTGCAGATGAATTTCTTTACTAAAACTTCTGGGATGTACAAGCACATTGTTTGATAAATATCTATAGAACGTCAATTCAAGTACGAAGTATCCACTATGAAAACGTCTAAATTAAAAAAGATATATATTTAGGGAGTGTGAAATACTTTCTTTGTGTTTTTTATTTATATATATATATATATATGTGTGTGTGTGTGTGCGCGCGCGCGCCAAGAGATAACGGAAATTTTTAGGGCCTACTTATTTTTTACTGACCAAAAATTTGACCAAATGATATCAGAATTTTTTTGGAAAGTTTTCTTTTTCGGTACGAGAAAGAAAGAAAGAAAGAAAGAAAGAAAGAAAGAAAGAAAGAAAGAAAGAAATTGGATAAAAGGAAAATACTATTAACAAAAGAAAAAAAAGTACAACGTTTAAGAACTGGGAAAAACAAAGAACAAATAAGTTTAAAATCAGTAGCAAAAAATGAAAAAGAAAGAAAGTGGAAAGACAGTTAAAAAAATAAAATAAAAATAAACCTCAAGAAAGAAACGCCGGCCAATGTAGTCAAAGGAAACTGTAGGTTTTAGGAATTTTGCTGATGCAGCAAAGTTTTCTATTTTGCAAGCCCAACGATATTGACTTGACATTTTAACTGTTGAAAAGTCTCCCTTGAGTGCAACATTGTTAAATACATTATTTCACAAACAAACCCGACACCTCGATTCATCCATACTTACATATATACATATTCACAGAGAAACAAGGATAAAGAAAGTTGAAATGATGAAAAATTATGTCCAATTTTATCCTGTTTAGAAAATGTTAACGGTTATTTTTTGTTATGTTTAATTGTATTTATGTTGATGAAATAAACGCAATTTATTTATAAATACATTTTTGGCAAATTTCTCAAAATATGGATTAAATAAAACAATCCATGTCCCTGCTTTCTTCATTCTCATGTTTTCTTTCTTTCTTTTTTCTGTCATTATTTCTTTTCGTTTCTTTCTTTTTTTTATTTTTCTTTGTTTCTTTTTTTTTTCTTATGTCCGTTCTTTTTCTTTCTTTTCTTTCTTTTTTTTCTTTCTTTCTTTCTTTCTTTCTTTCTTTCTTTTTTTCATCTTTTTTCTTTCTCTCTTTTCCGTCCTTTTTTTCTTTCTTTCCGTTTTTTCTTCTTTCTTTTCTTTCTTTCTTTCTTTTTCTTTCTTTCTTTCTTTTCCAGACATCTTTTTTTTCTCATATCCGTTCTTTCTTTTTTTTTTCTTTCTTTCTTTCTTTCTTTCTTTCTTTCTTTCTTTCTTTCTTTCTTTCTTTCTTTCTTTCTTTCTTTTCAAGCCATCTTTTTTCTTTCTCATATCCTTTCTTTCTTTCTTTCTTTCTTTCTTTCTTTCTTTCTTTCTTTCTTTTCCAGACATCTTTTTTCTTTCTCATATCCGTTCTTTCTTTTTTCTTTCTTTCTTTCTTTCTTTCTTTCTTTCTTTCTTTCTTTCTTTTCCAGCCATCATTTTTCTTTCTCATATCCGTCCTTTCTTTCTTTCTTTCTTTCTTTCTTTCTTTCTTTCTTTCTTTCTTTCTTTCTTTTCCAGCCATCTTTTTTCTTTCTCATATCCGTTCTTTCTTTTTTCTTTCTTTCTTTCTTTCTTTTCCAGCCATCTTTTTTCTTTCTCATATCCTTTCTTTCTTTCTTTCTTTCTTTCTTTTTTCTTTCTTTCTTTCTTTCTTTCTTTCTTTCTTTTCCATCCACTAGTTTAATATCCTTTATCTTACAATAGTCAACTGTTTCTTAGTTTGATTTTTCCGTAAATATGAAAAGCAATTTCATATTTACGGTTTCTTTACTTTTACATACTCTTTACTTTCAATCGTGTGTATGTGTGTCTGTATGTGTGAGAGAAAGAGAGGATCTCTCTCATACACAGACACAGATTTAGAGAGAGTGCGAGAATATATAGTTAAGCGAAAATGAGAACAAACACACACACGCACACATACTTGCAACTATAAGCATATACATGGAAATTTTTAAAAAAATCATTCAAATATAAAAAAGAAACATTCCTTTTTCTATATTTGAATTCATTTGTAATTTCCGATTTTATTTTGTTATGAGATCGTTTGTACTTACATCGTGTATTGTCATTTGTATATTGAATGTTCTTAGGTTTGTAAGGGGACAATTTTCTGAAATGGGTCAAATTCTAAGAATCCTGAACAGAAGTCGATTAAAAGACCACTGAGAGAGAACTCATAGAAAGGCCCCGATCAGTGATGCATAAGGACACCTCTTTTTAGAATTCGCAGAATCCGAAACTTTTCAAAATATCTTACTCCTAAATGTTAAATACTTTCAGCATTTAGATGACGCCTTACTAATATATCTGTACAAAACTAAATTGTAAGATGTCAGAAATAAACGAAGCAAAATTAAAACTACAATTGAATAGGCATATGTATTTATCTTTCTTTCTTTCTTTCTCTCTCTCACTTCACTCTCTCTCTTTCTCTCTCTCTCTCTCTCTCTCTCTCTCTCTCTCTCTCTATATATATATATATATATATATATATATATATATATATATACACTGCGTGCCAAATTATTATCGAGATAACTTTTTTTCTAATATTTCAAAAACCGTCCAAGCAATTCACACAAAATTTTCACACAATGTTGGCAACACGGACCTGCGCAATCACTGAAATTTTCGTACTCATCTGCGCGATGTAAACAAACTGGCGCCATATTTGTTATCAGCACGGTGATTTGAGCGTGCCAAATTATTAGAAAGGTTTAGTAAAATTCCCAGAATTGAGCAAACAAAACGTTTATTAATGTTGCACGTGAATGTTTATGATCAAAAGAAGCTAATAAATAAGATAATCAAACAAATAATAACAGATACAAACAAGGAACAGTTTTAAACAAATTAATAGGGAATGTGCTTTCCCTGTTATGAAATTACTTGAAGAAGACGACGATCCATAGAATTTGTTAATTGTAGGATGTCATCTGCTGTAATGCCGCGATATATGTCTAGAATCCTTCACACAACTCAGCGTTGCTCCTGAATTGTCCTCCGTTGGCGTACAGTCTTCGCTTCATGATGCTCCAAAGGTTTTCGATTGGGTTCAAATCCGGAGAATTTGCTGGCCACTTCATTTTTCGAAGTCCATCAAAGCCTAACTGTTTCAAATATTCAGTAGTCTTGTGAGCAGCATGTGAGGGAGCATTATCTTGCCTTCTGAAGGCAACTCTTTGCCTTTTCATCCACGGTTCAAGATGCTCCTTCATAAACGCTATGTATGCATCAGCAGTCATTTTGACGCCATCTAGTACTCTCCATAGGCCCACTAATGTTTTTCCAATAATACCACCCCAGATCATTATGCCTCCACCGCCTGTATATATATATATATATATATATATATATATATATATAGAGAGAGAGAGAGAGAGAGAGAGAGAGAGAGAGGGTGTATGAGATACTATAGAGGAAACAGAACTAATAGGACAGAATAGAATTAAATATAACTTATTTATTTATAAAGACAACTATTAATTTTATAGTTATAAAAATGAGATTACGCAGCCCACACACACACACACGCACACACACAAACACACACACACACACACACACACACATATATATATATATATATATATATATATACGTATACGTATTTCAATCAGCTATATAGCACCATACTTCCGATTATGTAAAAATTAAACTAAACACATATTTTGAGCTTAACTAAAACTGCTGGTTCAGACGCGATTCATATTATCATTTCTTGCTCTTTCTTTCTCTCTCTCTCACACACACACACACACACACACACACACACACACACACACACACACACACACATATATATATATATATATATATATATATATATATATATATATATGTATATATTCAAACAGATTTGGTTAATTAATTTAGACATATCATGTCGATTAGTTTTCGTTGTGATCCTTTCAAGTTCATGGATTAGCTTTTTTGGTACACTTCAAAATTCAGTAAGAAAAATCCCAAAATTTTCTTTCGAATAGTTTTTATTTTCCCAATTTTGGTATTTTTCGTACTCAATTTTCTAAATTTACCAAAAAATTAATTCACGAACTTGAAAGGATCACAACGAAAGCTAATCGACATGATATGTGTAAATTATTTAACCAAACGTATTTGAATTAAAATATTCTACCTACATATATATATATATATATATATATATATATATATATATATATATATATATATAATTTTTATTCGAAATTATGACATAAATATGTTATAAAATCACTACAAAAATAGCCACTTTCTTTTAACATTTTCTTATCAAGTGATGATGTTGAATCATTCAACATCAGCATTGATAAGACACCAGAGGTGTTAAAAGAAATGGCTATTTTCGTAGTAATTTTATAACATATTTATGTTATAATTTTCGAATAAATAATTATATTTGCTCTACTCGAATAGAATAGTAATTTTGGTAATTGGAATTTATTCCGTATACACCAATCCTATACTTGGATATATATATATATATATATATATATATATATATATATATATATATATATATATATATATTAGGTTGGACAGAATGTCCTGGCTTAAAATTCGGAAAGAAAGCAACAAATTTTATGGAGCAACACCAACATTTATTCTTCAAAATAAAGTCCACCATTCTTAACGATCTTCTGCCAGCGATCAGCCAGCATGCACATCTGTCCTAGAAACCACTTCGCTGGCTTTGAAACAACAAAAAAAATCTGTAAACAAGCTTCCTTCACTTTATTAAAAGTGTTGAATCGCTAGTCACGGAGGAAGTGGTCTACTGAGCAGAATAGAACAATAGTCACTCGTAGCAGCATCGGGACTGAATAGTGGATGTTAAAGAATCTCAATAGCGTCCATCTGTTTGAACTTCTCCCGAGTTAACCTAGCAGTGTGTGGCCACACATTGTCTTGCTGAAACAAAGCAAGACAGCCATTGACCAAAGCAGGATATTCCTTCTTTAGTTTGTCGGACACGCGGTCTAGCTGTTAGCAATACAGTTGATGGCGTTCGAACAGACTCAAAATGGAGTACTCCTTGGAAATTCCACCATAGAGAGATCAAGATTTGTTGTTTTCATTCCGAAAGTGAGTCAGGACTTTCTAGCCAGCCTAGTATATAGAGGGAAAAGGAATACTTATCTGGTTATATCTGAATTATGAGACTCGTATACACACACACACACACACACACACACATATATATATATATATATATATATATATATATATATATATATATATATATATATAATTGCAACATAAACAAATAAAAATACGTAAAAATCTAAATCTTTTTCTTTTATTTTTCATAGGGCGTCAACCGATTAAATTCGGTATGTTAATTCCTTTGGAGAAACATCAATGGAATTGAAACTGATATTTAAATAGCTTCTTTTCCTAGGTTTTCCGCGCTCGCGCGTGTGCGTGTCTATGTTTATATATGTGTGTTTCTGTGTGTTTTTTTTTTGTGTAGATATGTACTATGAAACTAGGATTCTACTTTAACTTATACTCGATATAAAATATCTATCTATCTATCTATCTATCTATCTATCTATCTATCTATCTATCTATCTATCTATTTGTAAAGATTGTTAAAATGTTCTGGGCCTGATCAGAAATTCCTTCAAAAACATTTTATGTCTGTAAGTAAGTAAATAAGTAAGACGGACCGAAAATTTTCCAAGAATCTGGGACATGGGGTGTAATGACGTTACATGAATGTGGGCAGCGTCTAAATATCAAACAGTAAGTAAATAGGCTCAATATTAACATATGCGAAACTAGGTGAGCAAATAAGGGATATTTTATCAGCAACACATGCACGTTCATTCTTGCGGGCTGAAAGAAAAATGAAAGAGGAGTAGGTCTAATACTAGACAAAGATATGAAGAAATGCGTTCTGGAATACTAATTCTCATAGTTCAGTTTAAAGGAAACCCCTTAATATATCAATTATAGTTTTTTTTTATGCAGCCACAGCACAAATCACGGAGGAATAAATTGATAACTTTTGCAGCACACTGGATAGCGTAAAAACAATGCAAATCAAAGAATATTACGATCATAATGAGATGCTTTAATGTCAAATTCAAAAATCAATGAGACGGTGAAATAGTTGGCTAATACTCGTAGCAAACGTGGCGAAAGATGGATAAAATGGTGCACAAACAATCAAATAATAACCAACACCTGATTTATGGATCATGAAGAAAGCCAGGAGGAGACATGAAGATTGAGAACGATTAAATAACTGTCACCAAAAGGTTGAGACATTGCAAAACGTATCCAGCTATAGGCAAAGGGAGCGACCATCTTCCACTCATGTGTAACTCCTTAATAAAATTACGGAAATTAAAAACCAAAGCAACGCCCAAAATGACAATACAACAGACTCGTGAATGGCCCATATTGCAAAGAGATGTTTGTTGACAGAATTAAAGGCAAATGTAAATAACTTGAATGAGGCTGGATATTCAAAGTCGAATATATTAAGAGAAGAACGAGAGACATCAGCGAATGAAATTACCCCAAGGATAAAGAAAAAAGAGTGGATAACAGATTAAATATTCGTGATCCGGAAAAAGAGAACAAACAATGCCAAGGAATGGCACAGATTAGAGAACATTGAACACGGAAGTGTCAAGCAATTGCAAGCAGGCTAAAGAGGAATGACTTAATGAAAAATGTGAGGAGACAGAAGGAATGAGCATCATGAATAAGGCATGTATGTATAAAAGACTAAAAAATTAACACAACAAAACATTTCTAAAATTGAAAGAGAAAAATTACTACCACATATTGTCTGGTGTGCCAGATATATATTCAGAGATCCTTGATAAAATCCAAAGAATCTGCAATGTCATTGGTCTTGACCTAGCATCTCAGCTTCAGTCATTTTTCCCACTACAGTAACGTAACTACCCTGTAACTTTTCTATAAATACTTTCATGGTAACTGTTCTGATGAAGTCTCCTATACTAATAGGATCTAGTTAAGACTTCATAGAGACCTGAGATATTATGGTGACTGTAGAAAGAATGGTAAGTAAGAATGCTTTGTTTTTCTGTAAGGAATACTGCGGCATGCTTGGATCAGTAATCGTGGCTAGCTAAGTTATCTAAGACAGATTGAAGACTAGCCTTCTCATATCCTCCTTTTGGTCTTATGCCACATATTTTTTGTATTATAACGAAATAAATATTATTCTCCTCTATGGTATCTAGAGTCTATGAATTGAAGCGCATGACTAGATTGGCAGGAAGGTCTCAGTCGAAAGTTTTAGGTGTAACCGTAAGTTCTATGCTGACAGTTTCCTTTCTCGCCCTTCTCACTTGTGGAACTCTCTTTCGGCTTCTTACTTTCCGGTCAACGTTTGATCTTAAAAAATTTAAATACAATGTCATTCGTTATCTTCTGTCTTTTTAAATCCTGTTCTTTAATTGTTCTTTCTCCTTATTGTTTTTTCTTATAATCTTTCGCACTCAGTAACCCCCCACCTACGGATTAGCGGCTCTGTTGGTTGGGGTGAAATAATTAAAAAAAAAACAAAGAAACAAACACAGAAAATGAGAAAAAGGACGTAAGTGTAATTTATGAGTAGAAAGAAAGAAAGAAAGAAAGAAAGAAAGAAAGAAAGAAAAAAGAAAGAAAAATGAGAAGACAAAAGGATTGATATATAACAAATAAGATGAAAAAGGCAGAGAAAAAGAAAAAAATGAAAAGAATAGAAATGATCAATATGAAGAAATAACTGATTGTTTGATTTCTTTTCACGACTTATCAAACCATTGTGAGTTATTTAAAGCCGAAACATATTTTTAGAATGTAAGAATATTTCTTTTTTTACGAATAGACGTTGCAGTAAAAGATTTTTGAGAAAATAAAAAAACAGAAATTCTTCCAGATATAACTCATACTATTTAATCCATAGCTGGGGAGTAGGAAATAGATTCATACTTTTCCCAAGGGTATTTACGTTTAAGTGAATGTAACGAACCTGACTGGTATTCGAACTTCCGAGCCGCTACCATCACATCATCCGCACATCCACATGAACGAAAGAGACGAGAGAAAGAACTTTTATTTCCGCCCCCCCCCCACTTTTAACATAGGTACATTTTCAGTTAATCACCGTTTCGTCCACTTTTCCTTAGCCCTTAGAAAATACCTGAAGCCCTAGAATAGCTGACAAGTTTAAGACACACGGTTCCCATTTTTTATATCCTTGGAATCCTACCCAACCTCAAAATGATATCATTGCCAATATATAATTTATTTGTAATTTGCATCTTAGTACTTAGTTTTGCTGAGAGCCATATATTCTATATTCTTACAATTCACATTTAGTTCTTTCTTCTCGCTTTCCTTTACTGTCTTCTACGGGAGTTCTTGTAGTTTCCTTTTTGTGTCTTCTATCAACACTGTGTCATCTGCTTATCTAATGTTATTAAGATTGTTACCGCCAACAATGAATCCTAGTAAGACATCTAATTTTCTCAGAAACAAATTCATCCCCCTTTCTAATATTCCGACTGATTTCATTCACAAACGTAGTCTATATCAGAGGATATTTTTTTTACAAAGGAATGAACAAAAATAAATCAAACATTAAATAATATCCATTTTCTGAATAAAATAAGAATGAATCGACAAATGGATTCTAGTATCAAACGTAAAAAAAAGAAGATATAATCTCTAAAAAAGATTTTAAAAAGGTTATTGAAAACAAATACATAAATTGCATAGGCGCGTGGCCGAGTGGGTAAAACCTTAAGATTCCGAAAATGATACTCGCGTCGTAATCTCACTATGCTCAATTTGTCAGTGATGTGATTTGTTTATAATATCGGCCTAGGAAGATGATCTTGATTATGCGAAGCAGTTAGGAAGTTCCTTGAAAACAAATCTTGATCGAAGCCTTGAGAGAGATTTTATGTAAACAGAACTAAAACTATTTGGCATTAATGCTGGCGTCCCCAAGACTTCTATTCTTGGACTTACGTTGTTCCTAATTTTCACCAATGACCATCCTGATGGCATCGGTTCTCAACTCATTATCTATGCAGATGGCACAACCATTTATTCCTGTTTTCATAGTAAGTCTGAGTACGATCAAATTGGCAGAGGATCTAAAAAACGATCTACTTTCTGTTGTTAACTGGGGCAAGGAATGGCATGTTAATTTTAACGCCTCTTCCAAAATGAAACTGTTCCTTAAATCGACTGAGAGAACCCTTTTTTACCTCTCATCAGCATTGTCAAACCTCTAGAAGAAGGATTCATTGCGCTTTCTAGGACTAACGTTTTTCGCTGACTTAAAGTGGAAAGATTATATCGAATCAATTGCTAGGTGTACTAGACTAGTTTTCCCGCCAGAATCTATCTTACATATTTACAAGTTTGCCATTCGTCCTTGCTTTGAATACTGCTGTCATATCTGGTCTGGTGCTCCTGCTATATATTTGAAGATTCTTGATAATATCCAAAAAAGAATCTTAAATGTTATTGGTTACGTTCCCACCTCTGTAATATAGCTTCACGGTCCCTCTTATAGAAATGCGTCCTGATTTACTTTCTTCTATGGTACCTAGACTTTATGAATTTAAGTGCAGTACTAGATTGGCGGCTAGGTGTAACCGTAAGTTCTATGCTAAGAGTTTCTTCGATGGTACTTTTCGCTTGTGGAACTCTTCGATCTTTTTGCTTCCTAGATAATTTAGATTTCTTAAAATGTCAAGGCAATGGCAATCGTTATCTACTGACTACTTAATTCTTATTCTTTTATTGTTCTCTCTCCTTAATAGTGTTTTTCTCTCATAGTCTCTAACACTGAGTAACCCCCTTGAGTCTTAGTGACATTATTGCCTTGCTTGGGATGAAATGATTAAAAGAAAAAAGCCGTCGATGGTGAATAAGAATTTCAGTGTACTGAACATGATTCCACCATATTATGCACCCGCTCCAGATACTGTAATTATAGTCTGCTCACCATAGTTGCAGCATAAACTACAGTTTGCCTGAATAAAAACAAATGTACCTAGGAAGGTGTCTTCAATGGGGATTAGCTATCCACCCTAGCAGATAGGCAGAGTCATATAATAAAGCTTCATGAAATATGTCAAGATAAATAAACAGTTGATTATTCTCATTGAATCGTATAGGGACACTTAGATCCATGAACTGACGCTGGAAGTCTTCCTCTTCTTTCCGACTGACAGGATCAATAAGTTGGCTCGTCGGTGACCTTCACTTTGTACTCAACTTATACATCATTTACGGTCGAGACAGTGTCAAACGATACCATTTGTATGTTCGGGCGTTTGCTAATTTGCGACCATCTTGAGAAAGGGGCATTTGGAATTACACCAACGAAATATAAAAATAAAATACTATTTAAAGAAGAAAAAAAACTTAATTAAAAAAAGAAAAGAAAGAGATAACAAAAATGTATTGAAGGGGGAGTAAAATAACTGCAAACACACGCATTTTGATGTCCATTATCACATAAACGAACACACGTATAAACATCCGAAATTATAATGCTTAAAATACGTACAAATTTAAAAGAAAACACATACAGCTCGTAGTGTGATACCGACAGACTAACACACGCGGGAATTCGGTATTAAAAAAAATACAGATGTGTCTACATATACAGTCCGAGAGGCAAACTACTATTCCACACGCGCACATACACACAGAGAGACTAACAGACCTGCGCATACGTACTTGTACATAATCATATTCGCATATTGAGTACGGCTCGTAATTTGAGCTGCAAAAAATTTCTGACAAATGTTTTTATGTCTGCAAATTTTGTTTTTATTCAACTTTTCTCTTCTTTCTTTCTTTTTTTATTCAGTTGCCGCATTTTCTTATCAGCATTTCCCACGGCTTAAACAGCAGAGGCTGAAGCGGCTATTTGAAAAAAAAAAAATTTTTTTTTCAAGTAGTTTAATAACAAGCTAACAACTGATGTCAAAAGTTGCTGATAAATAATAATTTGTAATGCAATTACGATTTGGGCACTTACACTTTGGTATATTAGTGATATTTGATGATATGATAGTTGCTGCCATTTTCTCATTTTATGTGCCGTGTCCCTTCAGCACGTGGGTGATCATGGTTCTCCACAACTTCATATCCTTTGTAGCTCTAAGCAATGTTTATTACTTTACTAACCCTTCCATTCCTTGCACAAGACCCTGATACAGATTACTGTTTTCCCTCTGCCACACTTTCTTTCAGTAGGTCCTGTAAGTGTCAAATTCTCTAAGCCATCTTTCCTCATTATGTGTCCCAGAAATTTCTGATCCTAAGCAAAAATGTCCTTTTTGTTCCCATTTTTCTTAAAACTTCATCGTTGTCCACATATTCCCGCCTATATTATTCTCAGAATCCTGCTATAATCCACATCGCTTTTGCCTCGAGTCATCTCTTCATTTGATTCACGGTGAAACATTTTAACTGAATGTACGTCTTTAGCCCCTCGAAGGCACAAATAATACAAGAAAAGCAACACGAGAAAACTATCTGAAAATACTGTAGCTGTCAACATAATGTCCTACCTTAAAGAAATAGTTGTATACCAAAACATTTAATACCTACAATAGTTCATCTACAAACTATATCTACAAAATATACTAAAAGTATAAAACTGCGTATAAAATATAAGAGATAAAGTTGTGTTCAAAATATTTGAAGGCATAAAATTACACACAAAATATTTAGAGATCGGAATTAAATAACCCATCAAGGTTAATATGCCGCTGAATTAAAACAACCAAAACAAATCATCTTCATCTGTGAAGAAATTGTAAAGCATTCACTGTCATATAGTGAGTGGGGGATTGATATTACATAGCACTTCAGGCCTATTTTCTATTCTTATTCTCATTAAACCCTTTTGTTCTGTTTCGGGGTAGTCTCAACATTTGTCAGTAGAACGACATTTCTGTAAATTCAGCTCTTATTTAGCTGTGAGGTAATTGTCAAACGTTCATTGTCATATAGAGGGATTGATATTACATTATATCATTGTCATATAGAGGGATTGATTACATATCACTTCGGGTCTATTTTCTGTTCCTGTTCTTAAGCATGTTCTATTCACTATTGTCTCAGAATTTGGTAGAAGGACCAAGTTTCTGTAAATTCAAGTCTCATATTTAGGTGTGAGAAAATTCTCAAGCATTCACTGTCATGAAGAAGGAATGATATTACATAGAAGTACCGACACTGTCTTCTTTATTTCTAACGAATTTTTTCTGTTTCTTAATACTTTGCTTACAATATTTGTTTACTCAATAATATTCAGCTATTTGAATTTCTTCTTCGTATATTTGCTAGTGTTAACAAAACGCTTCAGCAGATCCGTTCTTCAACCCATGCCAGGTGATATTTTTTTTTCCTTGAAGAAAGACATTTTTCTGTTTTTCAAAAGAAATGAAGGAACCCATTAGTATATATCTAAAGAATGGACCGACCAAAAGAACAAGTATACAAAAATTAATCTTTTGATTTTTTTTTGTGTTTTTTTTTTTTTTTTTTTTCGATTTTGTTTTTTTTTTTACGGTTTTTCAACATGGGTCAAAACATATTTTAAGAAATGTTTAGAATTTTTTTTAGAGATAATAATGATTTTATGCAAGTCTTACTATTTTACCCATAGCTGGGTGGAGAAAAGATGTATTCATACCATTCCCACAGATATTTGCACGAAAGTCAATATAACGAACCTCCGATTTCCAATTCCGAGGCTTTATCCATTACACCACCGCACATCCAAGTTTACAGCACCTGGTCTTCCCGAGCGGCTACCCATCTCAGTAATGATGAAGTTCAACATTGCTTAACTTCTGTGACTGGACGAGAACCACTGTTTCAACGTGATATGGCCGTAATCTGTTTAACATTTTCTGAATTTCTGGGATGAATAGCTATCGTTATTTACACTATTTACATGCAGACTATTGTCCTCATTGTTGTTGTTTTATTCACAACGTTTCGGCCGTTGTGTTCTCCGGCCTACATCAGGTGTATGTCAATTCGAGTAACCTACACGTAATTTCGAACTGAACCCTTTATTTAATCTACGTGGTTAGACTGTTTTTGTTTCACTAGTCATGTCTAGACATATCTCTTCTAGTTCTTACTTTTACTATAGCTCAGTTATTGCTGACTCCGTTTTCATTAAGTCAAAGTACACATTGCCCGAACACAGATTTGAACAATGTCATCAAATTCATGAGCCAACACTTTAATCCACTTTAATTTATTGTCCTGTGTTTAATTAACTTTAGGTTACCCAGGTCGGCATTAATCATTGACTGTCATTATTTTTTCTTCAAGTCACATGTCACATTTTAGCTGTTGCTGATGTTGAAAATCATTAAGTGATGTGGTTTCTGTTATTCGGTACAATTCTTTGTTTGTGATTTTGTAGCGTCAGCCCACAAGAAGTGTGGTCTTTGTCAAGGCGCACAAGTCATTAAATGACCCAATGAACATTGACATGTAAAATAAACTAACCTCGCTAAACTATCAGGTCATGCCATAAGTTCTGTCCGAATTTTGAATAAAGAAAACAATGGGACCAAATGTTACATTTAATTACAGATTCAATCAACAATGTATTTTCCCTGATTATCTATGACTTCCTTCCATCTATTAACAAGCTTACTAATTCCATTACTGTAAAATTCTTTTGGCTTTGATTCGAAGAACTCACAAATGTCAGTTTTAACCTCTTCCTGTGTTACAAAAGCTGTTTCTTCCAAATGATTCTGTAAGCTACGAAACAAATGGTAGTCTGAAGGAGTAAGATCGGGAAAATAAGGTGGATGAGGAATTTTCTCCCAAACAAGTTCTTCGATCTTTTGTGACGTGTTTCTTGCTGTGTGTGGTCGCGCATTGTCCTGATGAAACATCACCCCTTTTCGATTCACTAGAGCAGGTCTTTTTTTTCCTCAAAGCTTGGTTCAAATGCTCTAATTGCTGACAGTATATTTGAGCATTAATTGTTGCATTAGGTGGTAAGAATTCAAAGTGGGTTATTCCTTGGCGATCCCACCAGCTTGAAAGAAGAACCTTTTTCCTATGAAGTTCTCTTCTCGGCTGTGGCTGTGGTCCTTCCCCTTTACTAAGCCACTGTCTACGACGCTTAAAATTTCGATAAAAGATCCATTTTTCGTCGCCAGTCACAAGTCTATCCAAAAAAGGTGAAACAAATTGGCGAGAATGGAGAGAAGAGGAAATGTCAACTCAGGATTTGGGGTTGTTTTCAGACAATTCATGAGGCACCCATTTTCCAAGTTTAGGAACTTTTCCAAGTTGTTGAAGATGACGACGAACAGTTGTATTGTTTGAACTGAGAACCACTGCCAATTCCTCAAATGATAAAGCAGGATTTTCCTCAAGGGCTGCTTCAAGAAGTTTTTCCTCAAACTCAACTGGACGTCCTGTTAGATCTTAATCTTCAAGGGTGAAATCTCCACCTCTGAATTTTGCAAACCATCTTCTGCAAGTTCTTTCATTCACACATTCCTCTCCATAAACTGAGTGAATGTTTCTAGCCGCTTCGGCTGCTAAGTTTCCTTTCTTGAACTCATAAAGCATTATGTGTCTCAAATGATTCTTGGGTACTTCCATGTTAGCAGGGTTTTAATCAAACAAAATTTAATTTTATTGTTCTCTGAAACCAAATTTGATCAGTTTAAATGCATCTAAACATAAAAATAATGTTCAGCTCCATTAGACATTATAAAATACTCTTTAAATTTCGTTCATTTTAACAAAAAGTTAAAATTCGGACAGAACTTATGGGATGACCTGATAGATGGACAGAGATAAATAGACTGATACTTATATATACCACTGATAGCTATGGAAGTAAAGACGTTGTTGATCCTAAAAATCTTCGTTCGAAATCTTGGCTCGAACACCGCTTGAGAGGCGCCAGCGAGACACGTGTATCTCACTTATCAGGCAAACTGGTTTATAGCATGAACGAGTCCATTAACATTTGGTTACCGAATCGACACATTGTACTGATTGCAGGAGGTTAGGCCGAGAAGGGCCTATTTACCTTGAAAGTCATCGTTCGAAATACTAGCCTCCGGCTACACTCAGAGGTTACGGGTACTTTAGATACTTTTATCTATTTCATTTAATAGACAAGTACACATGTATATACAGGCATACACACAACAATATACATACATACTAATATAGATTCATACAGATAGGAAGAAAACCGAAAAAGACTTGAACAGATAGATAATTACATAGATAGATATGAATAGACCAAGACTTATAGAAAACCGACTTAGATAGATAGATAGTTAGATATGTACCAACTGAGATAGATAGATAGATAGATAGATAGATAATGAATATACACAGATATAAACCAACGATAGATAGATGGATATGTATCAACTGATATAGATAGACAGACGGACGAGCAGATAGATAATGAATATACAGACAGATATATATATATATATAAACCAACCATAGATAGATAAATAGATAGATAGATATGTACCAACTGATATAGATAGATAGAAAGATAGGCAGACAGACAAATAATAAATATACACAGAGAGATATAAACCAACCATAGATAGATAGATAGATATATAGATAGATAAAACAGATTGAGATAGATGATGAACATGAACAGATAGATATGAACCAAGCACAGATAGATAGATAGATAGATAGATAGATAGATAAAACAGATTGAGATAGATGATGAACATGAACAGATAGATATGAACCAAGATAGATAGATAGATAGATAGATAGATAGATAGATAGATAGATAAAACAGATAGAGATACACAGATAGATATAATAGACAGTATATATATATATACATACACATATACATGCATATAATATATATGTGTGTGTGTGTGTAAGTGTGTTTATTTGCGTGTGTGCGCGCGAGTGTGTGTGTGCGTGATAGAATTTGCGGGGAATTAGAAGAAGCATGACAGTAATTCATCGAGTCTCGACGGATCCTCAACAGAATGCAGAATCCACTGGATGGATGTTTCTTCCTATTTGGGACTCAACAGCAATGCGGCTCCACTACCAAGAATCGAACGCGGACCGTTGGTAGAGTTGGTATGACGCTTGCGCTGCATCGTAATGGCCTGGGTTCGATATATATTTACTGGACTCTCCAGTCGTTTTCGACCTATGATGCTTCAAGTAGCATAGTTCTTAGAACCAACACAGATATCATTTAATTATAGTGATGAAGGCTTGTGCAGAGCCAACCACAATTTTGGATCAACCGAAAACAGAGAACAGTATAACGCAAGATCCGCAAATGTCCCTCCAAAGGTTTTGAATTCAGAGTTGTCCTTCTCCTGGGCCGTTCGCCACCCAAAAGGACCCAGTCTAAAGCACACACTCCTGCTATTTACCCATAGCTGGAGTAGAGAATAGATGAATTCATACGTTTATGCAATGAACTTGACTTGAATTCGAACTCGGTTCTTAGAGTCTTCAATCCGAGCAGCTATCTATTGCTCCTCCATATACATATAATCGTCTTCATTTATTAAGAATTTTCAATCTGAAGAGATGAATATTACAATATTCACGATATAAATTATAACCGAACTGGATCGTTAAGGTTTTTTTCTAGATTTATTATTATATTGATCTGTAATTTACATTGAGCTCTCTTTGCATTAATATCCTCCTTGGAATTATCCCTACCACTCACAAATTGGTATTACATATATTTATATTAATAAAAAAAAAACGCACTCTCATTTAATTTTTCAACCTTAGCGTTGCGACAGCACGCTCCAGAATTTCTTACAGTTAATAATAACACATTTCTAAAAAACATATTTCGATTCACATCTAACCTTTCGTGTCCCGGTATTACCTGGATGTATTTTTAAAAAAAAAACACAAATCAATTTCCATGTCTGATGATGTCTGTATGAACAGATGAAAGTACTAGCAAAAATAGTATATATATAAGTTGAATTTATTAAAAACAGGGATCACAACATTCATCTAGAGGTTCGCCGGTTAATGCAATTTTAATAAATTTGTTTGCGAAGATGTATACTCGCCATTTATATCATTAACATCACTAATCTGTTTTTTGTATGAATGATTCAAGTAATATATATATATATATATAGTAATTAGTAGGAGGATTTGATAATGATATTTAATTAATTCATTGAGTCTGACAGAAACCTCTACAGAATGCAGGAAGCACTGGACGTCCTATATTTGGGACTCATCAGCAGTGCGCATCCACTACCGAGTATTGAACCCTGACAGTTGGTCTATCAAGCGAACACCATACCAACTGTTCCAAATGGGCTTTGATGACGAAGAGATTCCAAATCAGACTCAACTAAGCGCCGCTCGCTCACATATTCAGTGCTTCCTGCATTCTGTAGAGGTTTCTATCAGACTCGATGAATTAATTAAATATCATTATCAAATCCTCCTACTAATTACTATCTGTGTTTATCTTCGCTTGAACCGGCTTCTAATGCTCCAGTTGGTAGCGGCTTGGTGAGAGTAGTCGTGGCTCCCGGGGGCACAGTCCTATGGTCACAGAGAACTCAGTTGAGTTCCGCCACGGAATATGTGAGCGAGCGGCGCTTAGTTGAGTCTGATTTGGAATCTCTTCGTCACCGGGGCCCATTTGGAACAGTTGGTATGGTGTTCGCTTGACAGCCCAACTGTCAGGGTTCGATACTCGGTAGTGGATGCGCACTGCTGATGAGTCCCAAATATAGGACGAAACGGCCGTCCAGTGCTTCCTGCATTCTGTAGAGGTTTCTATCAGACTCGATGAATTAATTAAATATATGTATATATCCAAATGTAATGAGAACGAGAATAATATAT